AGATTAAAGTGATTATTACATTTTGAATATGGATATTTTTCTTACAAAAACGCATCGATTTGCTACAGGAAGCCTTTGTTCACCCCCCCATGCTCCCGGAACTGCTTCTTTTTTCATGGATGGGCGCTTTTTATTTAACTTCTTTTGGACTGTTGCATGCAACACCCGCTGAGAGGCATTAAACAGCTTGAAAGATCAAAGACAATTTTTAATATAACTCCGACTGGATTCGTCTGAAAGAAGAAAGTCATATACACCTAGGATGACTTGAGGGTGAGTAATTTATGGGCTAATTTTCATTTTTGGGTGAACTAACCTTTTAGAGCTCCGTTCACACTGCCAGCGACACACAGCGACAAAGCGACATGCTCCCATTAATTTTCAATGGAGAGCTGGCGACTTCCATTCATGATTTAATGCACGAGCACTGCTGTAGTTTATATAACAACACTCTCCAACAGCAGAATGGTACTTTTATTTCTTTTAAGTCTAATTCCTAATGATATTAGAATGATATCTTAGTTTTACCGGCAATATATATAGTTTGTGATTGCATTTCCTAAAGATATGTCCAGACGTGCAGTCCACCAATAACATTAGAGCGACAGCAGTAGGAACGCCCACAAGCGTCTTCACAGCACAGAGTCTAGTGACGTGTGAATGGGGCTTAACATGGAAAAGATACATTTTATCACGCGTCGCGGCATCGCGTGTAGTTAGGACACGGTGTAAGTTTAATATAACAAAAGTTTGTATTATATTATTTATCATAATTGTCCTATAAATAAAAATGGGCAAAAATTAAATCATGCCAACAAAAACAGTTTGAGCAGCACTTTGATAATCAGGAGTTCACACACCTTGAACAGAAAACCTAATGCACATCATATATTATAGTGCACAGATCAACATCTGGCGGCAACATTGTTATAAACTGTCTAAAGGATTTAAACAAGAGAAGCAGAAACAGCATTTTTCAGTTTCTCGGTAGTTTGTACATCATTCTAGGGAAATATGTAGTCAGGAACACTATCCTGGTGACCTTTTGAGGTCATGAAGTCAGACGGGGCTGTTGTTTTAACACGTCAGGTTTCCTGTGGTTTAGGCCCATCAAATTGACACAGGAGAGCTATGTTCAATGTTGAGCAGTAATTCGTACATGATTCATACCAAAGACACCTCACAGTGACTTTTACTGATAGGAATATTGGCGCTCCTTGTTTCAAAGTAGAAGAAGGTATGAAACCAGCATGAAGAATATTCATAATGTCAAACAGAGGACAGACCAATTTTTATTTTGCATTTTAGATTTTTCAGGTTTTGGGTGATAAAAAACATGCAAATAATGAAACACTGACTGCTTATCTAGCAGGGCCACATCATAAACTGGAAATAAAATGTGTGTAGGCAGTAGATTTAGTAATTTGAAGGGATTTAAATGAAGGGAACTGCTTTTTATTAAGAGGTGACCTGTGGTGCATAGGGAGGCATCATTCTTGCCTCTAGTTCTATGTTTAATGCACAGGGAAGACTGATATAATAACATTAGTGGAAACACACATGAGTCGACAGATTTATCATCATCAAGAACAGACAAAACACCACCACCAGAGCGGCGCTCATCACTCAGCAAGAACACACCATCACTAAACAAACGCTGCAGCCAGCTGACCAGACAGGCAGAGTTTAAACAAATACAACCGCAAGAGGATAGTCTTACTAGACCAAAATATTTGTTTTACTTGAATGCATAACACAAATTCCCTGTGTTGATTCAATATTGTTGTATTACAGTGGATATTTTGGAAATAAGCAATAAAATAGCAAACACAGACCAATTACGTGAAGCAGGTTCTGGTTTGGTGTGATCTAAGAAACATCTGTTCAAGCTGTTCATTGATAAATGCTACGTGAGTATTTGCACATTCACTTCACTTACATATGCTGTTGTCCAAGGTTTTATATCTGTGGACTATCACATGCAACATGCAATACCCTGAAGAGCTGACAATTATCTTCATATACACTCAGGAAACATGAACGAAAACCAAAAGATCCACTATGGACTTCTGTTTTCAATATCTGATTTACATTTGCATTCAATATACTGGATCAGTGTATTCAACGCTGCCATAAAAAGGCTATACATTTATGTCTAATAGCGGAAATGTTTGATGTGAGAAAACTTACAGGAATGTTGATTACATTCAACTAAGTACTTTCTGTTCTTGTAGTGCATTTCTGCTGATCTGATAGCATTACACTGTGAGGTCTAAAAGTCTGAAACCACAATAAAATAAAGTTTAAAGCTAAAATTTCAAACAGACTAGTGGTCTATTTCTAAGTCACCAATAAAATAAGTAAATTAGTGTAAACAGTGAGATGTTTTTTCTTCCACTGAAGCACAAGACGCTCTTTTGATCACTCTTAAATCATGTTGCAGAACATTATCAAGGTTTTGTAGAAACTTTGAAGTTAATTAAGGGTGACACACCAAAAAAAAAAAAAAGTCAACTTTTCTTTTTTCTCTTTAACTTTCAACTCAAATTGTAATTTGTAATGGCTTTTGGTGAACACTAAAACATAACATGTCACAGATACCTTTCAGCATTTTCACTGCCACCGTTTTGCAAGTAGAAATCTTGTCTATGCCAAATGCAGAGGCCTCTACAACTTTTCCAAATGCTCCATGGCCCAAAGTTTTACCTGTTAGAGAGAGAAAGAGAGAGAGAGAATCTGCATGAGCTAGCCGTGTCATGGGGGCTCATAAATCAGACAGGATGCCCTGTCAGAAAAGATGTGAGGCTGTAATTAAAACAGCCTGCTGAGGTTGGGACTGCTTTACTGACCCTCCACTGAGAATTCATGGAGCAGTTAAGACTGAACGACAGAAGCGAATTACTGATATTTAATGGCATAATATTTTCTTTTGAAAACTTAGACAATCCTGATGCCCACCGTTCTCAAACAATAGGTCTGAAGATTAAGGCAATTAAGGAGCAGAAAGAGCCAATTGTGTTGAGCTGTGTATGGATAAGTTTGTCTTTGTATTTTATGGCTCCTTACATGTTCAGTCCCACAAGAAAGAACTCAATCATTTTATATCAAATTCTTCCAAAACTAAGTCATGTGAGCTATGCCATCTATATTGATTTTATAGTTCTATACTTTATGACAGCAACTATCCAACTTGTGGATATTTTTATTTGTCCAAAGGCATTTTGAGAGAAACATCTGAGAAAAATGTACCACCTAAATGAAGCATAATATCTCTAATGAGTCTGATGAGCTATGAAAGAAGATATTTTGAGTCAGGAAGGTCTTGAGTTCATTCTTGTTTACATTGCACTCAGAGGAAAATCTGAATTTTTAGTTAGTAAAAGTGAATGAAAAAGATCTTTGAACTCACCGAGTCTGAGGCGGTCTCTGGGGAACTCCCATTTGTTGCTGTCATAGGGCAGACGATCACACTGCTCATCAAGGGGCATCTGGTCAGGATCCATGATGATGGACAGGTACCCTGTCTTTAAATCTGCTGAACTTGGCTGGTAGAAATAAAGAAATGTTTTTTTAAATCAGAATATTCAGACAAAATAGAACAGGGTTCTGTAATTCTTCCTATGTAACTGCATGACTGTTGGGTATGAGATCATTAAGAGTTTTGAGAGAAGACCATGACTAAGTAGTAACAAAAATAAAACAACAAATCAAGACTGCATGTTACATAAGCATTAGTGTGCACTGTAGAACATAAAGTTTTCAGAGTAAACATAGCAAAAGACTGGAGTAATGGCTGCTAAAAATTCAGCTTTGCCATCACAGGAATAAATTACATAAAAAATAAATAAATAAAATAGGAATCATTTATTTTAACTGTAAGAGTATTTTTACTGTAATCATAAGAGACTTATTTCAAAAATCTTACAGTAGTTCAGTTACAGTTTACATATAGTTATAGTCAAGTCCTTACCTTTCTTAGTTTACGGATAAAGAGAATAAGCATTATCCAAAGAAATGTTGCTGCTGCTCCAGTAGACACTAAAATGATCACCTCAATATTTGGTTTACTGTCTTCTCCTGCATGCGGAAACAGCATGTTTTCAATTAAAGAGCCATCTGTACCATATTCATCACAATGCTTTTGTCTAATAAATATTAAACGACACAATAGATAATCATGTTTTTAATAATATTTCTACATGTAGTCACATACCAAGTATACCAAATACAAAACCACATTTCACAACATAAACTGGATTTGTCATGCCGTGCTGCTTTCTGCCTTTGCACTAAACTTGAGTCTGATCTGATCTACAATGCTTGTGCAGTGTTCCACTGGATAGGAACCAGCTCACTCACTTTCATTTATCATGTATTCATGTATTCACATACTATATACAGCAAAAGATATTTTGATTTTCAAAAGAGGAAGGAGAAAGAATTCAAACAACACTCTGCTCTCTTTGAATGTGTTTGGCTTGGGTTTGTTCAATCAAGTCAAGCCAGTTTTTTTTCTCTTAACAGAATATAGAGAGTAACTGAATTTCACTACTGAGATGAGCGTTGCAGTTGGTTTTGAGGGGTGTAGGAACAAGAACTTTTTTGGAAAGGTCCTTCTGAAATTCAAACCCTCTTCTTCTTTAAAGACATTTCTCATTGGTCATTAATAGGGCTGCATGATAAATCGCATGCGATATTTAATGCGCATCTTGTCAGAAAGCCGGTTCTGTAATCAGCGGTAAATCTCCATCACATGCGTGCTTTCACATTGAGCAGCATTAACTACACAGAGCCGTTGTTCACTGACGAGCTGCGCAAAACCACGTTCATATTCGCGCGATTTTTTGCGCAGCTCGTCAGTGAACAACGGCTCTGTGTAGTTAATGCTGCTCAATGTGAAAGCACGCATGTGATGGAGATTTACCGCTGATTACAGAACCGGCTTTACTGATAAGATGCGCGTTAAATA